TTCTCTTGAAACTGTTATATTTATGTAGCAACTCAATGCCCAGATATTTCTATCAAATTCTAAATTCCTCCTTAAGTCACATTTGCACTTTGGGAAAAATGGTAATATTTAAGCATACAGTATGGTTATGATGGGTGAATTTGTGTCCTGTGTCATATTGCAAGATGCCCATTTCAAATGATGGATTTAGATCTATGGCATTAGATGGTTAATTGTTTTTAAAAAACACTTAAAATTTCTAACTGCAATCACTGGTAATGTCATAAACTATGAAGGGTTATCCTATGAGGCAAAGGTGTTTTTAAAATATTCCATTTAAATTGTGAAAGAAGCTAAGGAGTGGATAAATAAGAGTATTGGTGGACATTACCAAATTACTTATTTTTATTTAGACCACACTAATGCCTTCTTCCGTTATTTGCAAATGTGTAATATCTTGCAAATCTTATGGCCTATGGATGGGGTAAAGAGAATGTGATTTGGAGCTTATCTCTGTTCAGGTTAAATGCAGTAAAAGCTCTCATATCTGTCATGCTTCTAAAAATAGTGGGTGCTAGTAACAAAGTAAACTGATGAGCGAAGTGGATCCAGAGACTCGAAGCATGGAACAGAGAGCGGAATCTCAGAGGGAAGGCAGGGTGGGTGGGTGGGAGGTAATCAACCAAAGACTTTGTATGCATATATGCAAAACCCATGCACACAGACAGTAGGGTGCTGAAAGCCTGGGGTGAGGAGCAGGGGTGGGCTGGAGGGCTCAAGGGGGGAAAAGGGGGACATATGTAGTACTTTCAACAATAAAGAATTATTTCAAAATAAATAAGTAAATAAGTAAATAAAATAGTGGGTGCTGATTAACTATGATGTTGTTGCCCCAGGTGAACTTCTTCCTTTATTCTACCATGAGGGTCAACATTTAAATGAAAGTGCACTGATTTTAACCAGTGCATCATTATTATTCCCAATATACCTTGTTCTGCCTAAAAAGTCAGAAACAAGAAATAACATTTTTGTAACCAAAGTATTGTTAGTAGCTTTAGAAGTCTATTCTGCTGTCACTGAAAGTACATAAGAGATTAAAAATTTCTGGTGGGAAAAAACAGTAATTCTAAATTCGGGACCTGTTTCATTTCCTTTGTGCCAAGTATTACTTTTGCACTCTAGCTCTCGGAGTTAACATAATGTTTAAGTACATTATAGAGCTAATAAGTAGGCCTTTTCCTTTATGCTTAACCTGTTTCTTCAGTGAGTACAAGTGTTGATTTCCCTTCTGTTGTAGGTGTAAGTGCAATTGAAGTGGTTGTAGAGCATGGCCTAGCAACCCCAGAAGGACTGACGGTTGACTGGATAGCAGGCAACATATACTGGATAGACAGCAATCTGGACCAAATTGAAGTGGCCAAACTTGATGGTTCCTTAAGAACAACACTAATAGCAGGAGCCATGGAACACCCCAGGGCTATTGCTTTGGACCCAAGATATGGGTAAAGAAGTTTGTCTTTCATACGTCCACTTTGGCATAAAAATATAACCTTTCACATTAATGTCAAGTTCAATTATCTCATAAATTATGAGTTCAAAGTGCTTATTTCGTGCATGTGTGTATGTGTGTGTGTGTGTGTGTAGTATGAATGGGGGCAGTCTTGTCAACCGAATCCTTAACCTGTGGAATATTATACTATCTCTGGGTATATACATATAAGTAATTTTTTATTTTTTCATATATGTAAATTTATGTACTGTATATATTAGTTTATTACCTTGAATTTGATTATAGGTTTTTATATAGATACTTTTTAGAAGATATAAATTTTTAAAGTAAGGGCATTAGGTAGGCCTGTTGAGAGCTATTGTAACTCTTTGAAGCAATGATTTAGTGACATTCTCTTTGACCTGCCCAAAATACTGAAGTTGTGTCTAATGGTTGCAAATCACAGTCTTTGATCCAAACAGTCACAGATGTTAACCACCTCACCCTTTATTTGTCATGTATGTACTTGGAGTCAGTTTAAAAGAAAATTAGAACAAGCTTGAAGGAGCCCATTGGTGAGATGTTGGCTGTTGGGACATTTGAAAGACAAGGCACATGATTCTGGGAAACAAGGTTGGATGTGGAGTAACTCAGGCTATTTCCCCTCTGTTTCCTGTGTGTTCTTCTGTGAGACAGCGGAAGGGAGGCACTGGATTTGGAGCCAGAAAATGAGGGTTCCAGTCACGTATTCTCTGGAGAAGCTACTCAAGTGTATGATCTTCCCTTAGATTTTAGTTTTCTTGTTTGTGAATCAGAGAGAATAGTATATATATATATTTATATTTATCATTAGGTTGTTTTGAGAAGGTAGTAAATAAGTTGGAGAGAATAATAACTGATGTATGTGAAAACACTTTATTACTGTTAATTGTTTATTTTCTTGATCATTATTTTTTAAGTTCAAAACCATTGTCAAGTCTAAAGGATAGTAGAAAAAACACTATTTGGGGCTCTTACCTTTAAATAATACAAAGTCCAGGGAGCAGCAATGGGACTGGGAGTTGGCCAGTTCATGAGATGCAGAAGAGGGAAAAGGGAGCTTTGTGTTTCTTCAGCTTCCTGGCTGCACTGACTGGCTTGTGCTCTGGTTTATGCCCAAGACCAGAAAACAGTAGATTGGGAAGTTTGTTTGTTTATTTTTCTTTTCCTCACTGCAGACACAGAAATTAAAGGGGCAAAGCAGCTTGTCTGCAACAGGGTTCCAAACTGGCAAACCTCATTGATGTGTTTGCTTTCTCTTCTACAGTGTTTTAAAATATACTTGAATTAGTTGCCAAAACTTAAAATATTGAGAGAGTTTGCATACAGCTGTGGATTTCTGACTTCTTTTGAAAACTAGGGAGATCTGGTAGCAATGAGCGGAGCAGTAACTATATCTTTTAGCTTGGGGGTACTTCTCTAGTTCTCAGTTTACACTTTGCCCATTCCACGTCTTGCTCCTATAATAACAATTAATTAATTCACCAGAAACAAATGTGCTGTTTAATGAGAAATTCCCCCTTTTTTTAAAGAGACTATTTCTGAGGTTACAAATGGATTGCTGATCCTGAGCGTTTACTTCCCATAAAGGTTTCTTGTCAGCAAAAGCTATACCCTCAGTGTAACAGCTACTGGTGTGAAATCTGCACCTATTATACCTAACTTGTACCAGCACTTTATCTGCACAAGAAACTTTCTATATAAGGGGAAAGTGATATCTTAGAGAGAGTTGTAGGTTTAGCATTTATACCAACACAATAGGAAAATGGTGAATGCGTCCCAAATTCCAATTGGTACACAGAGAAAAACAAACAAAATAGGTGGATGAAAGTTTTAAAAGTATATGACCAAACAAAACATTAAAGCTGGGAGTTAAAACTTCATTTTCTACAACTTTGAACTGACAACACTTAGGATAAACTTATTCATCTCAGTTTGTTTGAAGAATTGCCAACCTGAGAGGAGAAAACGAAAACAAACACAAAGGACACACAACCCCCAAATACCATTTAAGTGAAAATATCAGACACTATTTCAGTCATATAAAGGGACCTTCAGGAGTAAAATATTCTCTAACATTGAAAGATAGAATAGAGCTAGCCTGTGAGTAGGAAGAACATGATAATACCTCAGAGAAAGTTGATACCTTTTGAAAGTGTGAGGCTAATTAAGATAACTACAGTAGTACCAAAATAAACAAAAACAAATGGGTGAAGAAATAACACTTATAATTATTTTTTTCTGGCATAAATGACAAAAATTTCAAAGTTCTGATGATTGTACTAATTTACTAAGTCTAGGGATGAATTGGAAGGTTGACAGGCTTGAGTGTTTTGATATGATAGGATTTTTATTGTTAAAAATATTTTATAGAGGATTGACACAATTACGATATGAGGTTTCTATAAATACCTTTAAAGCTCAGTTGTAGCAATTAAATTTTAAAAGATAGTACAAATATTAAAACATTTCAGGTTATCAAATATTTTGGTAAAAAGTACAAAAATCTTTTTAAACATTGGACCTTTCATAAGGTAGGCTGAGACCATAGTAAAATTAAGCACAACCACACACTTAACTGCTAAGGCAAGCTAAGCACATAAAAAGCAACACTGGAAAATAATTTGTGCTATTAACATATTAAAAAATAAACATAAGGTATCCCTCTATTTCTCAAGTTATTCACACAATATGCAAAGAAGCTGTGAACCAAAATTGATAGGAATCCCAAAAACATTCAAACATCTTTTGAAATATTTTGTTTTAGGATAAATACACTGGATAATTTTTTAGGAAATATGATTTATATAAATACTGTTATCTTTTCTACTAAATCATAAGCTTTCCAATGGCAAACAAAGTTGCTTCCAAGTCTATGAAAACTTGTACTCTTGGTATATATAATTGTGCTCATTAAATTACTGCATACATATGAATAGACTGTTTACATCTAACTTATAGGAACTCAAGGATATACCTTAAAATGTGAACTGTGCAATAAAAGAAGAACTAATACTATAAATTTTCTTTACAGTAAAAATGAAAAGAAAAGGTTGCAACCAGTCACTTTGCTTCCTCAGCACAACTGAGAAAAAATCAGGCTATAACATTAGCCCCATCAAACACATTTACATCACATAAAGTTCCTATAGCAATGAAGGTCTTTGTGACCTATTTTACAGATATCATAAAAGAAATGTTCTTAATCAACTACTCTGCATCCTAAGCATAGAATCCACTGGTCTTTATTTTACATTATAAGGCATATTTTTCATCATGCTACAGCTTTGCTGTATTCTGAGTTTAACTCAGTATCTCAAGTGACAAGTTATTCCAAGGTAGCAAATTGGGAGTCCTAGGAAGGAGATATTTTTTAATTGATTCCATTTTAAGGGAATATTCTTATTTCTAAGGTGACCTGAATGAGTACATGAATATCTTTAAGCATCAAGCATATTATTAGGGAGTAACTAGTGGCCTGGTGCACGAAATATGTGCAGGGGAGGTGTTGTCCCTCAGCCCGGCCTGCACCCTCTCCAATCTGGGACCCCACAGGGATCAGGCCTTAACCGGCAGTCGGACATCCCTCTTGCAATCTGGGACCACTGCCTCCTAACCACTCACCTGCCTGCCTGCCTGCCTGATCACCCCTAACTACACCCCCTGTTGAGTGTTTCCTTCCCACGTCCCGCGTGGATTAGGGTTCAGGAACTGGAAGCAGAGCCATACACAAATGAATATGAAAAGACAAGAGATAATTTGGAAATATTGGGGGACCAGGCGGGCAAGTCCAACTCAAGGGGAAGGACTTCCTCTGTGCTCAGGCCTCACCAAGCTTTTATTGATCTGGGATGCACCCATAGCATAGCCCTTAGGCAGGCGACCCCTGGCAACAGGCAGACTAGCCCATCAGCAAGGATTTACATAATAATAATAAATGGGGAAGTTGTTTCAGCTACCACTGTCTGGACAAACAGAGGTGGCGCCTAGCTC